TACGGGAAATTTTAATACCAACCTAATCAAAAATAAAGACTGAAAAATATTTTTAGTTACATTCAAATCAAATATCAAACATTAATAATCAAACATTTCAAAAAGCAATAATTATAATGCAGAATGCTTGATTTAGGTTTTAGCCATGTTCTCCCTTATATTTAGTTTGCTTCTGATTCAATATTTTCTGTGCACACCCAGTGAGAATGATAGGCACCATAAAAAAGAGAATAAAGGGGCTCTTTGAATAGATAATAAATATTTTTTTGTTTGTCAGATGCAACTGCAAAAAAGATAACTTACATTTTAATCACATATCGACTAAGGAGGGGCTGTGAATGTGAAGGGTTCATGTGTTCATGTAATATGCTTGTCATGTTCTTGGCACTGGTGACTGGCTTAATGGTTCATTCCATTCACCTGCCTTGCACCACCTAGTTTCTAATCACTGTTCATCTTATCCACCTGCTCCTGCTTCTATGCAAATTGCTTGCTCCCAGTCATCAGTGACAGATTATTTGAGCCTTCGGTGAGAGATCTCTAGTGTAACTGTTGTTGTACTGATTACCTGATCCTGACCAGTTCTGCCCTCGGACCTTTGAGCCTGCCTGTTCCTGTTTCGGATTTGTTTGCCTGATCTGTCTTCGGACTTCTGCTGGTTTCTTCTTGTGGACTGAAGCTGGATCTGCCTCCTTACTTCGACTTGGATTTCCCTTCGGTACCTGTTGAGATCTCTGATCTTCTGGTCTGGAGTCTTGTTAAAGAGGAACACCAATTTTTTTACTTTGGTCCCTTGATTTCATGTTATTACATTATGTTCTACTCACCCATATTAGTTTTGTGTCATTTGGAGCTGTTATGAAGATATTCCGTTTTGTTATATCCAAGTAACGTCTTCCTATGGGCAACGAGTTGAAGGCACAAACTAAACTATTCAAAATGTATTATTTATGGTACAGCGGCATTCATAACATGTAGGGGAATCACTGTCCTCCAGACATCCGCGGTTATATTTTTTATATTTATATCTTTTAAAAACAAAGCGGATTGTGTATGACGTCATCCGCGTGCACCAGACTGGAGTTGTGATAAGCAGCCCGGGCCACAGGCGGCTCAAATCGATATGGACGTCCATCATATTCAAACTCATCAATGTCATAATCTTAATCGTTCAATTCTATTTCCAGAGCGAGATCATCTGTGGTAGTAGCACTAGACATCTTCCAGGCATGTAAGTAAAACTAGCAGCAGTTCAGCGGACAGAATGAATGAATGGTAGCCGACGCGTGCGGATGACATCATACACACTCCACTGTGTTTTAAAAGATAAATAATAATAAAAACCGCAGATGTTTGTGGGACAGTGATTCGCCTACATGTTATAAATGCTGGTGTACCATAAAGAATACATTATGAACAGTTTAGTTTGTGCCTTCAACTCGTTGCATATAGGAAGACGTTACTTGGATATAGCAAAACCAATTATATCTTCGTAACAGCTCCAAATGACACAAAACTAATATGGGTGAGTAACATGATGTAATACCTTAAAACCAAGGGCTCAATGTAAAAAAAAAAAGGGTGTTCCCCTTTAACCTCTTTGACACCGGCTTGGGCTTCATCCTCTGGAAACTCCTGCTTAGGTGCTCGTCAGCCAGTTCAGCAATCTTCAGGCTTTGGCTCCTGGAACTCTCTGGGCAGTGTTCACCGTGTGCTGTTGTTAGACATCCAGTTCGATTGTACTCCTTCCTCTGGGCACAAACTAAACTCTAAAACCAGGTTAGTGACTCGCGTGCACGTGATCACCGTCCGTCAGATTTACGTGGTCACTAATCTGAGTTTTACATCTACAGAGATTTCAGCCTTTGACGCCCTTGTTGCTGAGTTGCAGATCCGATGTAATTTAATAAACGCTTTTGTGAATCACACTAATCTGTTTGCTTCGAATTGTGGGACATCAGTCCAGAGCCCAGACAATGCTTGAGTAAGGTTTGCTAGTACGCTCCAATGGATATGATGCTTGCTGAGAAGGACCAGTTTATCATTGTACAGATACAATGGTTTTTATTTTGCCAGAATCTAATTTAAGCTTTGAACTAAAATCTGAGCAACAGACTGATTAACTCTATTGAACTCTAAATACTTGCAATTGGAATTATCACACTGAATTTAAGTTGAATTACATGTCTCCATTACATGTTTCCAATCCAAAGAGCCATTTTGCTCTAAGCAAAGAAATCTAAGTAAAAGCAAAATGTAACATGCCTTTTTAATCAAACACAACCTATTATTTTTATTGAATATTTTCCATTTTAAATCTGTTGCCATCTTAAAAAACCAAGTGTTAATTTGTATCATTAGCTTTTAAAATAAGGAAAAACAAAACGATTCATAAACATGAATGAAGATGAATGGACTACCCTCTGCAGGTTATTTGATGTGAAAAACACAATTATAAAACCCATCATTTTGAAGCTAATTAAAAGAGAAATACTTCTAAAAAAACACACATTTCTGGTTCTTTAATTATTATTTTTTTATCATTCTGTTGTGAAAATTCAATTAGGATATTATTCATAAGGGGAATAATGGCCTAGTGGTTAGAGCAGTGCTCTTGTGCTCAGAGAAGCTGCAAGTACCCGGCTTGATCCCTACAACCTGCACCCTTGGTCCCTGATCAAGACCCTTAACCCCACACTGCTCCTTGGGCGCCACACAATGGCAGCCCAATGCTCCTCTAGGGGATGGGTTAAATGAAGAGCTACATTTATCCAGTTTTAGATTAATAGGTTCAATTATTATTTTAAAACAACTAAATCTTCTAATATTTGTTATTAGAGTACATTGGTCAGTTCTTTATATCATTTTCAGCCACTGTTAGAAGCCCTAGAGGTTCCAAAGAGCCACATGAGGCTCCAGAGCCACAGATTACCTCCGGTCTGTTAGTTGTCTCACTAGACAATAACATCGCCTAAAGCTTAATTACCTCAATGGGATTTTTTAATAATAAAAAGCAGAGTGAACTGGATCCATAGAAATAAGTCCTAAAGAATATCTGTTCTTTGAATTGGTCATGTTCTTTGAATCAGAATGCTTATTATTAGCAGATATTTATTTTGGACCACAATTAAAGAGCCAATCGTTTGCAAACTTTCAACTATTTCAAATTTTTTTAATCAGATACTGCTAATACTAAGTTGTTTGACCAATATGCAAACGCTCTAATACAGTAAGACAGCAACAACTACATCCCGATTACACATCTGAAAGGGGGACATAGCAGTGGCAGCATCATGCTTTGGGGATTTTTTTTTTATTATTATTTTTTTTTTTTGCAGGGACATGGAAGCACATCAGGATTAATGGTGAGACTGACCCAAAAAGGGGCGTCAATTTTGGAAGAAAACCTGTTGGAAGACTTAAGAACAGCCAAACAACCTACAACCAGATCTACAATGAAATGGTTTAGATCATTTTTGTTTAATTCTGGTCCTTGATATCCACTGTCCTGCATCATTTAAGATCTCTGCTTCTAAACACCCCAAAAAAATAATCGGGTCATAAGCAGGACTCTGGAAAACTTGACTGCATCCTGAGGAGGTAATTCAACGATTTGATTCAGGTTTGTAAGCAGATCCACATCTTAAAGGACACTGGATGATGTGGATCTTATCTTATTTAGATCAAAAACATATTAATCTGGTAAAATTACACAAAGTGCAGAAGTGGTTGATAATTAATTAGAATGCTTAACAAATATTAGTGCAGTCACCCAGTTTTGCGGGGGAAAAATATTCATTCAATTTTCATTCCTATAACTTTTCTCCCATTTAACAATTTTCCATTATTCTCTCAGTTAAAAACAGGGAATATTACAAAAAAATAAATACAATGTCTAAGTTGCGATGTGTCTGGATGTGAAAACGTTGCGTATTTTAGCAAGGGTCCATACGTTTTTCAAGTGAAAATATTAACTTTTTCCTGAAGCTGTGGAGTTAAAACTACTCCACGGTGAGCATAGTTTCACTGAATCGCCTACATGTCCAGGCATCACTACTCTGACCACTCCAGTAGGTGGAGTTGCAGCGTAGAGCCACGATGCCGCCCCTTTCACCTCCCTCTCGCAGCACCTCTTCACCTGACACTTTTGCGCACTGGGAATCTGGAGCCACACATTCATCACATCACATCCAAAGCGCCGGTACTGGGAGTGGGGGCTGAATCTATGATATATATTTTTTTCAGTCTTCAGTTTCAACACCTATTGCTTGTGAAAATGCGTCGCCCTATTGTGATTTTTGTCAGTTTTATAAAACTGTGTTTTTTTCGTCGGGTGGAATTTGTTGTCACGGTGGTTGTTTTTTGTCCGTTTGTGTTTGGGTGAATCCGTACCTCTGTGCACAGGAGACTCGCTTCTTACTGCAGCTGCATCAAAGAACCTGGAGACTGACTCACCATCACCTGCCTCCGAAGCAACTCCTAAAACGATTCCCTGTTCTGGATAGTGTCTGATATCAGGAACCTTTACGCATGAAAGACTCCAAGATGAGGTTGATTTTCTCAACAATGCATAAGAAGTTGGACATGTAAGTGCGATCAAGGCCACTGAAATCAATCCATGAATTTGTCTGACTTCTTTTTGATCCGAATATATCTCCCAGTTTAACTGTATGAGTGTGTTTCTTACCCTGACTTCTGTTTGGGAGACGTAACGGAAACTATTTAATAAGTTGCTTTAAAAATCCAAGGGAATTCAAAACTCGAACCTCATCGATGTATTAGAGGATAAAATGGCTTAAAGTATATTCTTTGTGCTATATTTTCAATTTTCCGTAACCTTCCAACAGACCTTTACGCAACGCGCATCTGGATCTTGTTTTTACGCGCGCCTGCCATTCTTTATTATGAACGCCGGAGTGAACACCTCCAAGGGGAATGAGGACTCTAATTTCCAGAGTGACTTTACAGCACGGGGGGAGGCCGGGCCCTTTGTATAACCACGCTGCAGCATGCCCTCCTTCCCCAACGACTCGGAGTGCCTCCTGCGTAACTGCAGCTGGGAGGAGATCTACAACACAAGCGGCGCTGATCAGTCTGCACCTCCGCTCAACTACTACTCAATCCCTCTCCTCACGTTAATCACCGTCGCCTGTTCGCTGCTGTTTCTGGTTGGAATGACAGGGAATGTCATGACCATCCTGGTGGTGAGCAAGTACAGGGACATGCGCACCACCACTAACCTCTACCTGTGCAGCATGGCTGTGTCCGATCTGCTTATTTTTCTTTGCATGCCACTGGACCTCTATCGTATGTGGAGGTACCGGCCTTGGAACCTCGGAGATGCGCTCTGCAAACTTTTCCAGTTCGTGTCAGAGTCTTGCACCTATTCCACCATCCTGAACATCACCGCGCTGTCAGTGGAGCGCTATCTGGCTATATGTTTCCCACTGCGCGCCAAGGCTCTGGTAACCAAAAGGAGAGTGCGCGCACTGATCTGCATCCTTTGGACGGTATCCCTGTTTAGCGCAGGGCCTGTGTTTGTTCTGGTGGGAGTGGAGAGGGACAGTAATGAACAATCTAACACTTTGGACGTTGAAGACACGCGGGAGTGCAGGATGACGCAGTACGCAGTTGAGTCGGGTCTAATGGGAGCCATGGTGTGGCTGAGTTCGGTGTTTTTCTTCATGCCAGTGTTTTGTCTGACGGTGCTGTACAGCCTCATAGGCCGCAGACTGTGGCAGAGGCACAGAGAGACTAATATGAGCTCCCGTGTGGCTCACAGGGACAAAAGTAATAGACAGACCATCAAGATGCTGGGTAAGTTGAAATATTTATTGTAATAAATGGTTAAATTGTATATACAATTAAGGTTTAACAAAACATATTAAGAAAGAGTTAAACTAAACAAAAAAACAAAAAAATCTTAACTGGTATTATTGGCAATATGGTTCACTACTCAGGGCAGCCTTGGATGGAGCCAGATCAAGTCCAAAAATCAGTTATGGTTCCTCTTAATAAATTTGAGTATAATTGGAAAGATTTCAAAATAAATTTTTGTTGTTTGGTTTGACATACATGTTTATTTCTGAAAATCAAGTAAACAATGACAGAAAAAAAACAAAATACAATTTCAAAGAAGATTTTAAAACTGTTGTATCGTTTGTTACAATATAGCATTTGGTGGTTCAGGTCAGTACCTCAGGGATGATTTTTGTGTCATTTTAAATTTATTCTTATGTTTACTCACACAGTGATTGTTTTTTGTTTCTCCTGTTTTCCTAATAATTGCATGGTCCCTGTTTGTTTGATTTTTAGACTGTCCTTGTTGGAATTATTTACCAACATACATCATTCTACCTTTATGACATACATAATAACATGAGAAATTGTTTTTTTCCCATTTTCCAGCAACTATTGACATCCTCCTTAAAATGGCCACAAAAAGCCACAATAATCCCTGATAGCTTTTCAGTGATTGCTGTTTCAAAGCAAAAAAATGGAAAATTGATTTGAATGGAACTGCATTGTGGAAGTTTGTAGCACTGTTTCCTTGAAACTAAAAGATCCTGGGTTTGAATCTCAGCATGAAGTTTGCCATTCTCTCTACAGTAGTCTTAAAACCCAACTGCTAGGCTGATTGGTGATTCTAAATTAGCCTTAGGTGTGTGTGGGGGCATGGTTGTATGCCTCTGTTGCTCTGCGATGGGCGAACAACCTGTCCAGGATGTACCCTGCCTTTCATCCAGACACTGCTGAAGATAGCCACCAGCCACCCATGGACCTGATACACAAGCAGTAGAAGATGGATGGGTGGATGAAATAAAGGGGAAAATGTGGCAGAGGAGTGATCAGGAAGCAAAGACAACCAAAGACTTGTTGTTAATCAGGTCAAATTTATGAATTGTTACAAAAACATTTGCAAGGTGTGGACTGCAGGTTGAGTTAGTCTGAAAGGGGACACGTCTCGCTTTAAAATCCTTCCTTTTTGTCTTTATGATGTAGAAGTGAAATGATTCGTTAAAAATAATCTATTTCTTTAAATCATTGTCGACTATTTTTCAGACAGACAATTTGACAAACAACAATAAATGAATCAATCAAATACACACGAAAGAGACTAGTTTCAATAACAAAAATTCACGTGACCATAAATAGAAATCGAATTAAATTGTTAACTGTAGTATATGAACAGTAAAGAATACTATCTGTTAAAAGAACAACCTATTCAGAGCAGTAATTAAGACAAAAAGGCGCAGAAATTTAAACATTTTCCATGGAAATTCTATTTGGCTGTAAATATGATCTAACCAGGACATTAAGAAACATATTTTTAGCTTGATCAAATTCTGTAAAAAAAAAAAAAAAGAAAAAAAAGGCACATTTGCTGACAAATATTTATACATACACTTAAAGACGTTTATAGTTAATCTTTAATATTTTGAGTACCAAACTTTTTCCAAATTTTTGCCATTTGCAGTGGATTTGAAATGTGTGGCAAATGGTTTTGGTTTTCTAATTCACAATAATTGATAGTTGCAACCCTAGTTGCAAATCCTAAAGTAGATCTGCAATTCTTTGCTCAGAAATTCTTGTTTTTGAAACTCCACAAGCACCTTTTAGACCCGTCCTCTGAGGTGTGTATCAGAGCAAATCATTAAGTGCATCCTTTTTAAATACAAATTTAAAATGCCCTTCCTTTCCAGGTTTGGGTGGATGGGTAAAGCCTGTGACTCATGTACAGATGCCTGCAGTTCAATTCTACCCACTGACCTTGGCTGCATTTCCCCACCCACCCCATATACCCCTATTTCTTGTCAGCTAACATTGTTCCTGTCAGTGAGAGGTAATTGAGTGAAAGGATGACAAACAATAAAACAAAAAACAATTCACACAGCTGTGCAGGAGAATTATGTTTTGGTGTAAAATCCACAACAAAATGAATGGCCTCTAAAACAAAACTTAGAACCAGAGTCTGCCATTGTTGTTATTTGTGTCATTTCAATGTGTGTTAAGGGAGAAGTGTAGCTCACATTGGCTGGCATACGCAAAGACACCGGCTTATTTATAAAGATAGAGGTTTCCACATGGATGGGGTGTCACTGTCGGTAAGGACAGCAAAGTCTCCTCATCTAAACCTTAGATGCTAAGAGGAAGATGAGAAGTCTCACAACCAACACAGCAGAGGAACTTAAGGCTCCTTAAAACCTCAACAGAACCCTAGACTGATCCTTTCTTTATTGTTTTTTTTTTTTTTTTTATGATAATCTCATTTTCTGACCAACCCTAGTTTTAAGTTTTTATTAACAATAAGCCAGAATCATTATAGTGCACAGAAACACACAGCTGGAATATATTGCTTTTTGCAAGACAATGGTTACATAGGTTTTACCTTTTGATTAGTAAATAATTAAGTAAAAGTCATTTGAAATAGTTTCTAAATGTATTGACAGCACTTATGCGTAATTGCTGTTCCTGCTAGTCTCCATGAAAAAGAAGCATATTAAAAACAGCTGAAAATCTTTAGGTGTGCCTCTTCTGGATTACAGTTATCCTCATCTGGCCATCTCTATAAACACTTCCGAAAGGCTCAAAGTGTTAAATAGAGGACAGAGAGAAGAAAAATTGTGGTACTAATTTTAAAGAAACTGTATTTTAATGATGGTTTGCAATAGGTCTAAGGGGGGACTGCAACTAATGATTGTTTTGCAAATCAATTAATCTGTTTAATCAGTTTTTATTTGTTATTAATAGATTAGTAATCAGATAGCTAATAATTCCATGATGAAGACTTTTTTACGAAATCAAACAAGGTGAAACTAAAACTTTTTGACTTGAGGGGTACTGGATAGAACCCATTAACAGAGATTTTTTTTATTTTTTTAATCTTAAATGCAAAATGTAAGTTGACATATTTTTTTTTACAAATTTGATATAATTACTCCTCTAAGTGGTCACTCTGTCAGCTAAAGGCATGCTTTACAGGCTCTATACCCTAGTTAACGATTAATTGATTTCTAAATTATTTGATTATTTCAATAATCTATAAATTACAATTAGTCTGATTAATTGTTTTAGCCCTATCTATGGGTGAAACAACTTACTGCTCAGGGCCGCATGATTTGCGGGTAAGCACAGACTCTGAATACAGTTATTTGTACTTCCAGGTATTGTGAAAAAAAAAGTTTTTGTTGACAGAATAAAAAGTATTTGCAGTCAAACATAGCGTCTCTCGTAATGATGCAAAATTTAGCTTTTAAAAGGGGTATTGTATTGTATTGATGTATTTATTTAAAAAATCTGGGCTGCACTAGCAATTCTTTACAAAGAGGCTTTCATGCAACAAAAAATAAACCCTGGTCTGGACTTATTGAAAAGTTTTATTTAAAAAAAAGTAATTTACTGGTTTACTGTTGTCTCATAACTGCTCACCATTTTTCATTCACTACCATCTGCTTCTCTCCTTGCTCCTTCTCTCCAAGTGGTGGTTGTGCTGGCGTTTGTCTTGTGCTGGTTACCCTTCCACGTGGGTCGCTACCTGCAGTTCCGCTCCCTTGACGCTCCATCTCCACTGCTGTCCGTGCTGTCTGAGTACTGCAGCCTGCTGTCTGTCGTGCTCTTCTACCTGAGCGCAGCGATAAACCCTATCCTCTACAACACTATGTCATGGAAGTACCGCGGTGCGGCAGCACGCCTATTTGGACTGACTGACGGCCAGCCATCCCGGTGCCGCACAGCCAGCACTTTAAAGGGAGATAGCTCGAATGGCTGGACCGAATCCACAGTGAGTTTGTGAATGCAACTTTGTTGATCCAAAGACCTGAAATGCATTACTTCTATTGGAGAGAAGAACAGTCTCCAAGAAATTGTTTCTATTGACTGAAATAACAAAAAGGCTGAAAAATGCTTAATCTGAATTGTTTCAATAGCTATTTTGTTTTTTGTTTTTGTTTTTGAACGCTCCAGTGCTTATGAAATTATTTCAGCAAGTGCCATAACATTTGAAAGTGGTGACTAGTGGAGGGTAAAATAGCTTTACCCGTAAGTGCTTCTTGATGTGCATATGAACAAGAAAAGAGCATTTGTATATATAAACCTAAATATCATACACATCAATAAATGCCTTATATTGTATTCTGGATGACAATGGAAGCACTGTAGAATTTGAAATTTGTTGCACTTGTCTGTACTCCGTCAGAGTGAGGCAGACGTGCAGAGTGTGTTTGACTGTTAGTGATGCAGACTTAGTCGTCTTTGTTTTCCAAGATACCTGTACGTAGAATTTCCAACCCACACTTTTGTTAATGCTGCAAACAGGAGTCCATCTAGCTTTATCAGCATAAAAGGTTATTCTGGTGTTTTTGGTTCCTGAACGGAAGTGATTATAAGATTATCAGCTTAGTTTATTGTAGAGACAGGCAGGTTGGATCCGAGGGTCAGTTAACCCTTTTTCCAATCTAGACCCCCATTTTTTGCCATCTAATACCATACCTCTTCACTAATAACCTTTTGTTAAGTATAGTTTCAAAAATTGCAGATGCCTAAGTTTGGATATAGTCATACCTCCTCAAATACCATGAATATTTGAATTGAAATGTATATTTGGTGATGTATATTTAAAAAAAAGTTAGTTTACTCCTGCAGAGAAGTACAGCTGATTATTAAGAAATGTTGACATGTTGATGTCTAATATATGTTCTACATTTTGCTAATTAAACAAAAGCTACCTGCAAAGAATATATTTTATAGCTAAAAAAACACTAATAAAGTTAGTCTCTAAGATGCTTAATTTCGCCATTTGTTAGTTTGTTAGTCTGACTCCTGTTTTCTGTCCTGGGGAAAATTTCCGCTAGTCCTCAGTTTCAGTGTTGATATTCATGAATGGGTTCTTTGAATGTACAACCTTTTCTGAATCTTTCAACACCATCTCAGTGAGATCCAGATGTGGGCTTTTTCTTCTGTTTAGATCTCTTTCCTAAATCTCTGTCATTCCTTGGTGGATTTACTGGAATGTTTTGGGGTCAATCCTGCTTTGTTAATTGTTTTAAAAGATTCTCTTACATTTTCCTCAAGCAGCCTGATATATGATAAAATTCAAGGTGGATTATATGACGCAGAGCTAATCCAGCCTTGAATGCCTAATCCATGATAGTTCCACTTTCATATTTCATAGTTGGTATGAACTTTTCCTCCTGGAATGCCGTACTTTGTTTAATGCAAACAAGCCCTTCATTCTTTAAAACTCGCATGTCTAAAGAACATTATTCCAGAGGGTTGTGTCTTTTTGCCACATTATCTCAAACTTTAGTCTGATCTCCATGTCTTATCTTAGAGGTCAGATATTTCCTCCTTGCACACATAACATGAAAGTTCATCTGCCCACTCTATTTCTGGTTCTACAGGCTTGTATTTTTGTATCGATGCTAGAAGGACCCTGCTCTAGATCTTATGGTGAAATGTAGGGGCATCTTGTACCTAAAAAAAATTCATTTGAAAGAAAAAAAAAAAAAATTGGATTACACATTTTTTCACCATAATACCATTAAAGTAATTTTGAATGTACTGTGCAAGAAGTGTTAGTCATATTTCTCACTGCACTTAAGAAAATCCCAAACATCTAAATGAATATGTCTTCATTCCGAAAAGCTTTACTCACTATGTGCTTTGTTATTTGAAAACGCTTCTAATGTAGATTTATTTTTTTCTAACACTGCTTTATTGTTTTGGGGGAGCTAAATTCATGTCTGTTATCTGAATGCAGATTGTTGTTTAATTGGTTTTACAAACTTTGATCTAATTATAGAAAATTATCATTTGATTTATACAAATATTCTTTTTTTCTTTTATGATTCAGTTTTAGTGTAAATGTTGCCACTCAAAGCACACACATTATGTTTTGGCTCTTTTTTGTTTAAAAGATATATACCCATGGCATTACAGAACAAGCCCATTTGTTAAAAAAAGGCATTTAAAGCATCCAAACTAAAAAAATAAGCTTTTTTATATGTACTGTGCTCTTGTATTCAGCAGCCAACTGGCAAGTGAATATTATTAGAAGTAGGAAGTGTGCAAAACAGAGTGTGCCATACATGGTGTTATTCTTTGGTCCAATTAAGAATTTATAGGCCATTATGTCATTCCTGCTTTAGCATGTCAATTAATGCTTTCTAAGGCTTACTTCTGTGCAGCAGTTCAAATTACCGCAGCCATGCACTGGATTTAATATGTGGCCTCTTGGCAGTAAAGAATGTATTTCTGCTGAATAAATTTTTCTGACTGTACATACTGTTGACAGGATAACATATTTATAAATGTACTAAATGTATAATGATTAAAAGTCGGAAAAAAATAACAATTTTGTTCTTTTTTGTGGTTTTGTAAAATGTTCATCTGGCAGTTAATGTATTTGTGTACTACTAAGTTGTGTTGCATTAAAAATAAGGAAAAGAAATTCATGCTCAATATCTGTACCTGTAATTTATGTAGCATATGGTGAAATACAGCAATAATTTTCCCCAAGGGATCTGAGATAATACGTAATGATTCCCCCATTTGCCCCCTGCTTTACCTCCTGTACCGGTGTTAACCAGAGACACAACAGTGTGATGTCTGTCATCTTAGCCTTTATTATGCCCTAATGACCAGGACTAACACCAGTCTATTACTTCAAATAGCCTCAAAGACCCCAGAGTGCTTAGCATCAACAAGGGATTAAAGCATCCCTTAGTCAACTCTGAGGTCAACTGGGTACACAAAAACAAAAGGGGGAATGCGCAGAAACCTTCCAGTTCAGTTGTTTTATATAGCTCCAATTCATCCCAAGTCACTTCACAGAATCGATTTAATCAACTTATACAGACAGATCAGTGAAAAAGGTTTAAATTTAGGGAAACCTGAATTCACTACTGGATGAGCACAAGAGCGGAGAGTACCTTTCATTGTGCCACTGACTTTGCAGCAAACCCTCAGACTTAGCATGGCTAACTGGACTCTACTCATTCTTATGTATGCATGTATGATGATTTTAGTCTTGCGTGCCTTTGTATTGTCCTGTGATGGATGGGTGAACTGCCTATATGTAACCCACCTCTTGCAAAATGACTGCTAGAGCTTGATACCAGCCTCCCATGTGACCAGCAGGACAGAGCGGGGCAGAAAAGATGCATCTATGCTGTGTGAAGCCTCTGCCACCATGTTTCAGAATTAGAAATGTGCATCTAGACTTGTGTGCACTCTCTGTTATTCTGCTAAGCATCAGAAAAAAAAACCCCATACATTTTAACTGTGGTATCATCCTTTTCCCAATATTTTACTCTGTACTACATGGCTTGTAGAAATATTAACTTAAAAAACTTTACGGAGTGCATGACCAATATGTTCAGGTCTCCCACCTAAGAAGTGGATTTCCGAAGCTCTTCTAAAATCCTACAAGACTATAGCAATTACATTTTTAGATGAAACTGCTGTAGAAATGTAGAAGTAAAAGTATGTATAAGCTGATTTAAATGTTAGAGGGGAGTAATACGCTGTTAAAGAGATAGGTGAGGTGGGGGGGATTTAAATCATGATTTGTCATGACTGTGTATGTGTTCTAAATTCATTTTAGACGCTGATGATTGCCAGTTCAATCTGAAAAACTCACAAGGAAAGAAAAAGACAATTAGAATAATTTTACAGATACAATTAATTTAGTCTTTGGTACTCAGACCTCGACAGGAAACATAAGAGGCGCTGAATTTTTTTGATATGCATAAGCAGGAGTAAAGAACAGGGGTGTTTCCCCCCAGGCCTGAAACTGGTAGTGGAGTGCAGATAGATGAAAATGGTCAGTCCATAGACTGATGGTTGGCGAGACGATCTGTCTGAGCTGTATGGAGAGATCCAGTGGACTGCGTGAGCTGATACTAGTGCTTCACTCTGGGACTTGGAAAATGGAAGTCCAGCTTGGATAACACAGGTTGCTTGAACCTGTCCATGACCTGACCAAGCATAAAGCGACAGTGGAGAGGAAAACCTACCAATTGGGAAGAACATGGCGGTCTTCTGCTGTACTGGTTGAGATGAGACAGGGAATGCAGTAAGAGTCAGAGAGGAATGACAGTCTGATGGAGTCTTAGCTACAATGGTGGAGGAGTGGCTGGAAATGGGTTGAATTGGGGTCATCTGAATTGAAGCAGACATAGTTCAACCACTGTGCCTGTGCTTTGGGTAGCAGACTGAGTTGTGGATTTGGAGACCTTTAAAGATGAAATCTGGATGCTGATTGGGCTTTCGTGGAGGTGCAGTTCAAAGCTGATTGGCCTGTGTCGGAGGCAGATGAGGGTAAGTAATCAGTTTATTCAGTTGAACTTATGCCTAGGCTTCATTGTGCAAACAAAATGCAAACCAGCTGAGAGTCTGCAACCAACTGTGCTACAGAGACTCAGAATGAACATATCTGAACTGACCCAACGGTCATAGGAAGAGCAGTCGTCTGTCCAGTTTTTTTCATCGTATTTTTTAAATCCTTCTACCAATGTGATAAAGTACTTCATTCACTTCAATTCAGTTCAATACAAATATACATAATTAATCCCAAATGGAAATGAGATGTTGTTATAGGTGTCTATTAGAGATGGGAATCAAAAACTGATTCCTGTTCAGAACCGGTTCCGTGTGTTCCAATTCCATGGCACCATTTGGCAGCTCTCTTAACAATTCCAGGCAGCACCAGAGCCTAGCTCTGGGCAGCATCAAATTTTTTTATGCAAGTTACACACACGGCATTCAGTAAGCAAGTACGACGCGACCAGGCGCAAGTCTAGCGCTGTCAAAGCGATCAAAAATTTGG